AAAAAAGATAGAACGTGCTGTCAGAGCCGCATCGCGTGCGCGTACACCGACGACACGAATTTTCGTTGCGTAAATACGCCAGCCTAACCTCATCGACTGACACAGAACTGGTATTTCGCGTTTTCGTACACAGATACACGAATTATCGCGTACGTCCGATGTTCGTATCGATTCGAGCCAATGATCGACGATCTCACGTCAACAGGATAATTTTGTTAATTAAACGTCATAAATGTTTGTATTGAAACGACATGCATTTGCAATCCTACGCGATTGTCTACCATAGCGCAGAATCGTATGGACGAAGTAATACCGTATTCAAAGAGTTTTAAAGATCGACAAGATAATAGGCACACGTAGGATAAAATACGCAACACATATTGATAACACGATCGATCAATCACCGGCTCTACGAAGGAACTTTCGTTAAATTTCGTAAGAATAATCGCATGTACGGAAGAAGAAGAACGACATAAACACAACCATCACGTCTTAGCTGTTGCCCGAGACTGAACGTAGACGCGACGGTGGGGACGACTTATACGCTTCTATACTTCACGACTTTTTTGCTGTTATGTTTCTGCGCGCGCTTCAGAACATTGACCAATACTAGCGTCGATTCGAGACAGTAATTCCCGATATGCGAATTGAATTTTTAAATTCAAATAAAATACCAATCACGTTTTACAAATAATTTAATCTTTATAATGCGTTTTTAATGAATGAGTCGATTTGTTCTAGGGATATTATAGTAATAAAATAAATAATGCTTTTAATAATAAGATAAATCATTTTATTCTATATATATTATATATGATATATATTATATATGATATATATTATAGATTGCATAGACATTACTATATGCTTCTAATTAATAATTAGAAGCATATTATTAAATTTGATGATGAAAATTTATGTATAGTTTGTTTTGAAAATAAAAGTTTTATCAAATAATCATATTGTAATTGATATCATTATAATTCGATATTCAACTTTGTATATAGTCCTAAAATAAAGGTACTAAAATTCTAAATAAAAAAACTAAATTTTAACAAAATAAAAAAACTATCAATTAATTTTTAATTTTAATTTAATATTGTCAATTATTATAAATTTATTATTAAATTTTGTTTAATATTTCGTATTTTGTTAAATAAATTTTAATTTTTTAATTTCTAAAGAAGAAATTATCAATAATTCAATCTCTTTCCATATCGACATCTTATGACATTGAACTTAAATTATATTTTTTTAAAACTTTTAATTTTTTTTAATACACAATTTCAATATCCATTGAGATTTTATCTGTTTTTAAAATTTTGAAACATTCATAATTGTTTTTATTCAATTAATTTTACAATCGTATTATTTTTCTGAATAGATTTTTTATTGTAATATTTATTTTCATTTAACATAATATTTTATAAACATAAACATAAACATAATATTTTCATTGTTAATCAATTTGAATTTAATTTAATTTATTAAAAAATTTGAACTGCGCATTTTTATCAAATTCATTTAATATTTAAATAAATGTTTAATTCTTTAAAATATATAAAAAATGGTTTCTAAGGATACCGCTATTAATTAGCTAGAACAGCTGATAGAATCTTAAGTAGCGACATCTACTCAATTACGTTTCACAAATCAACATACGCACATTCAGATTTTTTTCCAAATAATGATTGAATGTTAACGAAGATATATCTTGAGATTATTGTTCTTTATTTTTTCGTTTTCATTACAACATAATTATTGATAACATCTCAAAATATTAACACAATAATGGTACAATTAATCGGTGTTGACTTCGAAGTATTTGGAAGAGTACAAGGTAAATGAATATTGTCTTTTAACAAAATTATGATGATATTAATTTTAGATTTTCTTTCTTAAAGGTGTATTCTTTAGAAAGGTAAGTAACGTATGCATTAATTAACAATTAATAATTAATACAAATCACGAAGAAATATCGCGTTTTACGATTATAGATATAGAAGTGACATCTGGTAGGTGAAAAATTTACTAACAATGAATAAATATACGTATCGATATTTTAAATTGAAAGTCAAATTCATCTAATATTTTTTATATTTTTAATTTAAAATAAAGGATAATATTTTTTGTATTTTTAATTAATAACTATAATGTATATGCGTATGTTTATGTTTGTATTTGTGGATCGGTAAACTAGTTTCCTATCGGTAAAATATTCAAACTAACCTCAAATAATAATTTATTGTTTTTATTAATACAGTATACTCAAAAACATGGCAACGAATTAGGTTTAAAGGGTTGGTGTATGAATACTGATAAAGGCACAGTTATAGGTCGCCTCGAAGGAGAAAAAAATAAAATAGAAGAGATGTAAATTTATTATTTTTTAAAAATTTTTAAAATATATTAATCGATTATTCTTATCCAATATATTTTTATTATTATAGGAAAAATTGGTTACGATATACAGGAAGTCCGCAATCAGCTATAGATAAAGCGGAATTTCGTAACGAGAAAGAAATAAGTAAACTCTCGTTTAATAATTTTGAAATTAAAAAATAGATTTTCATTCAAGTGAAATTATTGAATTGTTTTCTCTTTAATATTATAATTTATATAAAATTATAAATGATATGTATGATGTGTTAATATATACGATACAGTTAAAATAAAATAAAAATATTTAATTTATTATATCTTATCCTATATTTTATAGTATACACATTATTTATTTCATATGTACATTTTCATAATTTAACATTAAAAAACATATTACACGCATATAAAAAAAATTATTCATATTCTATTATTTATTAATTTTGTCTAGTTCTTCTTTTTATTTTAATATCATATTTTTGTATAATTTATGATATTTGTGATATTAAATTATCATCTTATATTATTTACGACGAATCTGATATCTCTGTTCGCTATCTGAAAAAAACATTATGAAACAGTATTGTTATTTCTTTACATATTCCAAGTGACAAGTGTACGATGAATGAATACATTTAAGGCGGCATTAATACCGTCTCGTACAATTTCTACCGCTATCGGTACAAACTTCATTAGTTGTCGAGCGCGAACCGTCGCGTACGCTTCAAAACTTTCGCCTGTCGATCTTTCTGTCGTATAGATGCAGTTGCATTTTATATTTATCTAACTATCTCATCATTACATATCAAATATTTCTATTTAATTTTATTCAATTTCCAATATATCATCTATTAAAATAACAATTAAAATATAGAACAATTGCAACTGTAAAAATATTTAATTAATATTTAAGATAAAACAAAGTATTGAAAAATTTAAAAATTTTCATTTTATTTTATAGTCGATAAGTGATCTAATTATGTAGAGATACGATTATGTTTAGTTAAGAGCAGCAATTCATGAATTGTAAAGTGTATTAAGGATAGACTGGTAATAACTAGATAATTGAGTGGTCGTGATAATACAATGATTAGCAAACGTGGGGAAATGTCACAATCAGCATGAAGTGTTTCAAGAAATTCTTTCAGCATACTTGGCATTTACAACAGGTAAAAATATATATACATATATTCCATAGAAACTGGAATCTCGCTTTGCTTCGAATCAACGAGATCTTCGAATAATATTTTTTAAAAAACATGAAAACATATTAAATAACACTTCTAATTAAATTTATGCAAATAAATTTGTAAATATTACAAAAATTCAAGGCTTACAATTTTTTATTAATACCATTTTAATGACAATGTTTTTTTTTCAATATGAATGACATTTTTATGTAAACGATCTTGTATCATACATAATTACGAATATGATAACAAAATAGTATTTATTATAATTATAATATTATCATTGATAATTATATATGATAATTATTTGTGTTTTATTAGAAAAGAAAGAAATTATTGATGCAATATTTAAAATGTCTTTCTATTATTTCACTTTGTTCTTTCACCGAAAATTAAATATATATAAAAGATTATGTGTGATCGTAAAACGATTTATAAAAACATCGACAAGTACACTTGTTCGTCGTTTGAGTGCTAGCCTTGTGCCTCTTTGAGAACGAGTTACTTTCATTCGTCGATTTAGACACAACTTTACCATACTTTCACCTTCTCGTTCGAAAAAAATTTCATTTCTAATTATTTAATTGGAGTTCGTTGAATCATAGCCAATGAAGTCGGATCAATAAAAAATAAGAAATCGATCAATGATGAAAATAAAAAAAAAAAAAAAGAAAAGAAAAGAAAAGAAGTATACAAAATTTCTGAATTATTCTTCGACAAACTTCAATTTGTTGTTGTACCAGTCATCGATACACAATACTTTCTTATTTTATGGGATTTAAATTTCAATGTGATCATTCGTAGCAACATTTTATTTTTATATCCGGCTTTTCTATTTCTTGATTCTCTTTTACGAGATTTGCGATTACCTGTTGAAAACATGAGCCTCGCCAGATTACGCAAGGTATCGTACATATCATCATTGCTGGTGCATCCTCGAATTGTTGCGCATTTGCTCACGTAACAATTCTCGCACTTCAATAACATGAAATTCTTTTTATATATACTTTATTCACTTTTAATATTTTATTCAAAGCACTATATATCGTGAATTTTTCATATTTTTTGAAAATCGTTCTGTAAATTTAGAATTTTCAGAATTAAACTTTTAATAATCGCAACTTTACTTACGAACGATTACTTAAATAACTGTGATAACTTTATCAAAATAATTAAAAAAAAAACTTAACTTTTGACTATACATATTTAAATAAATTAAAAGCTATTGAAACGAAAAGGTTAAATAAAATTAAAAATCAATGTTGAATTTTTTAATGCCAGACATTATCGTATCATAAAAATATTGATGTTTTTTTTTTTTAATTCATCGTATTATTTAAAAAGGTAAAGAAACGTAAAGAAATGATATCGATGAGCATCGAACTTCTTCCAAACGATTTATGAACCGATTAGCGGCGTTTGGTCGGCATTCACACGAGAGTAGTTCGATAATAAGAGATCAGGGGGTCGGGACTGATAAAGGTTGATAATGAGCCCCGACTCGGCGTAACTAGTCAGTTCCTTCGGTGTCGCACGCAAATAAACTACAATCTTTCTCGCCTTGAACGAACGGGTTGAATGTCTCAGAAATGTGTGTTTGAAGAATAAAAAATTTAAAAATCGATCAAACATTCCGATAACACTGTTACATCAGATTTTTTTTTTTTTGTCAGCGATTTAAATAGCGATATAATGTGACTAACATCATCCACAATTGGTCATAAATATGAACGGTGATGGGAATTGTCATACTAGGAAGTATGGATACGCGTTTAATAACGTGAGTGTCTGATCTAATCGCGATTTTTATCTTAAAAAAACNTCTTGTTTTTTTTTTCCTTTACCTTTTCGTCTTCTATAATGAATATATATATATATATATATATATATATATATATTATATATTCATCAATCATAAAATTTAGATATAATCTTTCTACAAAAAAAATAATTAAAAATATTCTTTCTTAAAGTCATACATAAATATAATAAATTATTTATACTATTCTTTTGGTAAGGTCAGACGAGTCATTTATATACACCCGGTCAATTTATATACAACCTTTACTTCACTTTTTACTTCGAAAATATTACTTTTAGATTCCACTCCATTCACTTCTGTTTCGTTTATTCGGTTGATGATTTGATAATAATGGAAATTAAGTGTGAAATTTATCGAAAGTTTTTGCACAAAAGTATCACAAAGAATAAAATTCATGATAAAAAATTATATTTTACGAAGTATACCGTAGAGAATGTTCATAAATTTGTGCCTTAATCAATGGAATATAATAAATAAAATTTTGCAATTTCTAAACGCCAATAATTATAATACCGATTAGCCTTTACTTATAAATAAAATTCACGATAAGTCTGATTTGACGAATCTTAATTTAACTTGAATACAATATTTCATCATTGCACTCGGTAGAAATGTTTTATATAGAAATTCGATTGATTTAACGATGTCCATAATCATGTCATTGACAGATGGTGATCGTGCCATCACCCGGATCCATATGGGATTATCCGTATCTGAACCAGGTCACCAGCATGATGGGCCTGGTGTATGGAACGAGATCAAAGCCCGAGCAAGATTTATTTCCTTCCAAGATTCGGATTCCAGAGATACATGTAATTTCCCCACTCCACCTCCCCTTTCACCTTTTCAATATTTCAATGCGTTCACTTCGTGACCTTCGATCGATCATATTTTCATGCGAACGATGTATGTGTTTCTTTTTCTATTTTCTCCTTTCCTGTTTTTCTTCTCATCAATCTTTCTGGCAAAAAATTTCTACGATCCTAGAAAAAAAAAAGACCACGAAACGATATTACCATCATATACCTTCCTTCTAGCCAAGAATTGTCGAGAGATCTATTCATTTTTTTTTTTTTTTCCTCCTCTTCTCCATTCCTCCCCCCCTCCTTTTTCTCGAATTGGGAATTCAATTCATTTGAAAAAGCAAAGAATGTCGTTGATAAGAGTCCTTGGAAACGCGGTACGTACGTTTCTCTGCACAATTGAATACGATTGCGAAATAATCGATAATTTGGAGTAGCTGCATCGTCAGGCTGGTTGCATTTCATACGAGATTCGATTTATTAAGAATTCTGCTTGCGGTGTCTACTCACATCGAATGTTTATAAATATCGTTCAATGTTTTTCTTTTCCCATCCTTTTTTTAACTTTATTACAAACGGAAAGTAAAAATCGGTCCAATTATATACATTCCATCAGATAAACAGGATAAAGAATAAAAAAGCTATTTTCATCGTGTCGAAACTTATAAGCCGTTTTGTAATATCTTCGTTTTGAAAAATAGGAAATTGTGGTCGACAATCTGGTTTAACCTGTTTCTATACGTCGAGTCTAAAATTATGATACATATGTTTATTCAGGCTGAAATAAAATTTATCGTCGAATTGATATTTCCTTTTTCCTTTTTTTTTTTTTTGGCGATAATAATATATCTTCTTTCCATAATTTCTTATTCTTATTTTCTTATTATTATCTACTATCTAGAATTCACCACTCTAACATATCTCGTATAAATTTTTTCATCCAGAAGCTTCCAATGAAATATCAAAGAAAATATTTACACATAGATATAATCGATTCAATAAATCGAATCGCTATTTACATAAATTTTTCCCATTTTACGAGCAATAATATATATTTAATCAAATCTTCTGTTGGCACGCTATAACGTAATATCTTATCATGTAATCTACCATCTAATATATTTTAATTTTTCTCGTTCTTTTTCTCCTAAAGAATCCTCATCAGTATAATATTTCGAGATACCTTTTTATTTTCTCGTAGCAAGAATTATGGTATAACATTGTTCGAGTATTTCCTATACTTTTCTTCCTTCTTTTTTTAAAACACCTTCTTCTCTTACAAATTTTTTATTTCACGTCTGAAACAATGAAAAAAAGGAAAAAACGAATCATTTGTCGAGTTAAAGTAACAACTGTTTCAATATTAGCTCTATGTATTAACATGATCCGTTGGCAACAAACAAATTCCAGTTCTGATAGAAATTTAACCAACAGTTCAAATCATTCATCGATCATTTCAGATGGAAAGTCCATCGAAGTTCGAGTTGACGAAGACGGAGGTTCAAATCGCGGATGAAACGGAATTAGGCGAGGTAAAAGTGATGCCGTTAACGAGCAACGTGGCGACTTCGACGCCTGTGCAACCAGGAAGCATTCCTTGCAAGAACGGTGGATGCAAGAGTTGGGCAAGTCGGGCAGAATCACGGATGGAAAGCCCGTGGCATTTTCTCAAGACCATCTTTCTCATCTCTGTGATCGTTGCTTTGATCCTGTGGGTAATCGTTTACACATTCCTCGTCCAGTACCAAATCTTGTGAAGAATTCGACGAGTCGCGTGAAACTGTTGAAGTTACAGTCGAGAAACTTGGATGATTTATGCTCTTCCGTTTCGAAGGGAACGTCTTTGTTCATACATACGGCTGGAAAGAAAGGAACACGGATAAAAATGATTTCGAAATTCGAGAGAGAAGATCGAAAAGAATTAGAAAGAAAAATGGAAAAATTTTGTTCGAAAATGATTCGGTGGATGTCTTTGGTTGATGTTCGATGACGTTTCATTGAATTTCCCATTTTCCATCCGTCCTTGAACGAAACAATAAATGATTCTATGCTCAAAAAATCGTGGATCGTGAATGTTTGTCGAAGAATTGGCTAGTTCGTCGAGTGTGAATGGAAATATGAGAAAAAAATTACTTACCTGTATTGTTTTGTGGACAGAAAGTTTTTAGAAATTAGCAGAGAGTTTGAATCTCGGGATTGCATAAAGTTCTCTTCTATTTGCACGATTGCCCCAACTTTCATCGGTCCAACGACTATGAAATTCCCGGTGTTGAGACATTTGAAACAGAAAAAAATTGAAGATATTTTTGTAAGATCGTACAAAAGGCGCTATTCGCAAGAATAAAATTATAACGAGAATGGTACCTGTAATATTCGTTCGTAAAATTGGATATTCCTTTGTGACGAAATTCTTGTCACAAAAATCATGATTGTATTACACTAATTATATATATATATATATTTCTATTTATAATATTATATATAATTTGTTATTAATATATTCTATTTGATAGAAGGTATTCGAATATTTAGTATTAATAATTATTTTTTTTTTTTTTACCAAGTATTTGTACAAAAGCGATTAAATAAACTGAATAAACTTTGATACTGTGCATTCCTGAAATTTATCTAAATCCACGGGGATCATATTAGAAATTTAGAAACTTAAATCTGAAAATAATAACTGATAATAAACGAATTAAATAATTCGCTATGCCACGCATCGAACTTATGATGATGATTATCAATATCTTATAACGATAACGAAATAAGTTAAAGTTGCATGCGAACGCCGATAAGCCTCTTTCTTCCGTTCATCTTGATTCACTTGATTAAAGATAGATAAAAAAAAATCACGATCGATCAATTTTTTGGATTAAACGGGCGGGCGAACGCGTGTGACTGACGGCGACTGAGTGTGAATCAAGCTTTATTCTCCAATTAAATATTATCAAAATCGACTTCTTATCCATTAAAACCAATAAAAAATATGCACAAGCGCTACTTTATTAAAGATACAATGCTTTCCACATTTAAGCTTCGTCATCGCATATGACGATTATAACGCAGTTTGACATAGATTATTAACTATGTACCATATTTGCACGCTGATAATCGCGTATCCTGTCAACGATGATGAATGCTATCGGGTTAATTCTGCTCGAAGTTATCCGCGAATATATGACGCTCTGGAATTTGTCTTTTTTTCTTACCAACGACCCGTCCACGGTGCACGGACACGATCAGAATTCTCAGGGTGGATTTCTCGAAACGAGGAACGAGACGAAGGACGATAAAACATCTTTAATGCCCCGCGATCTTGAGGCCGCGTTTCGCACTTGACTCGATCTGAACGACCTTCAAATTGACATTTTATATCGTGTTATCCCAGTCATGCGAAGTCCGTAGGATCTCTGCTACGATGTTTACCAAGGTAAGAATAAAGATTTTTAAATTTATTTTCTTTTCGTTCTCCAACAAGCAAATATCTCGGCTAAGAAATTCTTCTTCTTCTTCTTCTTCTTCTTTTTTTTCTCTCTTTTTCCATCAAACTCGAATAATCGTTTTGCTCGTCGATGCAATGGAATGTTTATCTGTTGGAGGTGGGAATAGGGTTATGAATTTTCAAGGTTTAACAAACGTGTAATTATATTTATCGAGAATGAGGCAAAGTGTAAAATTGAAAAGAGATGTAAAGTAAAATTGTAAGATTATTCGAAAACTCGACATTTCCCTCCCGATATACGAAATAAAATATAATTGTAAAATTCGTGTAAGTTTGTCTGTGACCAATTTACGAATGTGTGATAAAATAAAAGAGTACGTTTTATTCGATGTGAAATAATCATTTAATATTCACGGATATCAAAGTTAAGATTGTTCCACAGACGTTTGTATGAAATTGATCCATGTTATCAGATAATTAAAACATACCATGACTATCTTGATATGAAAACTGTTTATATTTGAACCGATAACTCGATTCGAGTACATGTACTTGAATACTGTATCTCGAAGGAGAGGCATTTTTGTCCAATTTGTAACACAAAGATTTATCTTACTCTCTCGGATTAAAGTCTTGTTTTTTTTTTTTTTTTTTTTTTGCGTGGAATAAATGATCTTTATTTAGATTTTTCCTCTTTATTTAGACTTCTCATTCCGATTTCCGATGAACAATTCGCATAAAATTACGAATAAAGATACGAATCTCTGAATTAATATCGACTCGTTATTACCATGAAGTAACAGATCAAGTTTTAAAAAAGAAACAGCAATTCTCACCTCAAATCAAGAATAAAGATCTAATTTTATTATCTAATCTTATTTTTCTTTTTTAATAGCACAAGAGATAGAGTTCAAGTACCCTCGCTCGACGATCAGGAATAAAGTTCAACATCTAAATTAGTCAGTTCCGTGATAGATGCACCGAAGAAAGTATACCTAGCCGGCAATCTGAAGCGGGAAAAAGAGAGGACGATTGCGCGATACTTGGAGAGCTTCCTTTCTCAAATTCGAGATAGCCAGGCCGGATCTTCAAAGCAGGATGATCCTGGAAAAGGTAAAAGTTATTATATTTTTAATATATTTTTTCCATAACTTTGATAAATTTTATAATTTCATTTCATCTTCTTCTTCTTCTTCTTTCAATAAATAATTTGCAGAAAGCGACGCAACAAAGGAAAATACAGCGGTGAAGGAATCATCGAAGAAAGAAGCTACAGGCATAAAAATCGCACAATCGAATAAACTACGAAACGTAGATAATACCGTAATTAAATTAACAACTTTTGATTATCCTGGAACTTCGAAATCGCATCAACCTGCCAAGAAACCAAGCTCGAAGCCTGGACACAGTAAAGTGAAGACCACCCAGAGCAAAGCAACACAAATGCGTGAAAATTTAAGTACGCAAAGGCTACAAGCTAACGAGGAAATCGATGATGATGTAACGAACAAAAAGATAATATTGCAATCGTGAATTATTTGATTATCCTCATTGATCTCTTATAATAGCCTTTTTATGTTTTAGTCTTCTTTGGATGCAGAGGATACCCAAGCAAGGCCCAAATACATTTTAGTCGGATGGGACAAATTTCGTTCCAAGCTCATGCTGATACTACTGATCCTCTTTATTTTATGGGCAGTCATCTATTTTCCCATAATTCTAAATATTTAACGGCAAAAAATAATATTCCCTCTTCTTATAAGCGATAAGTACGATATTCAGTGAATTTTAATATGGATATATACATACATACATATATATATATATATATAAAGTAAGTTTCCAAAGTTTCTTAGTAAGAAATGAACAACTCTAGTTTGTATTAAAATTATATCTCGAGAATGTTATCTGTTCGTGGGCAAATAGAACGTTTTCTTAAATGTCAATCAAACTATGAACTAGTTTGCCACGGTATCATGGTTGTGGTAAAACTTCAACGTGTAAATATGTAAATATATTTTTCAAGAATAAAATATAATTCCTTCTATCTAAGTAATAAGTTTTTATTTTTTTTTTTTTTTTTTTTTACATATGTACATATATAACGAATAGTGTAATCGTTACAAAGTTTATTGAAATATTTCAAGCGTGAAAAAACGTGTGAAACATCTTCGTACCGTTCAAAATGGTCATTTAGTTTTATGGCGTTAAGGGAAAAGAAAGCGATCACCATTCTAAATGTCATAAATTATATCTTCTTTTGTATTAAATGTATAAGATCAGAGAGGGATCGAGAGATGAGACAGTAAATGGCCATCTTTTAACAAATATAAAATGAATACAAACAAGAGTTTAAACTTATATTATATATCTTATTTTATATTATCTCATATAAGATTATTCTAGATACGTTAAACGTGTTAAAATGCTTAACGTCATTTTATATTTCGTATCCATGCATTCGACATATATGCATCTCTACGAAAGCCATCGTAAAATTCTCTAAGAGGGACAAAAGATTGTTGAGGAAAGATGGTGATCAGAAGCTATACCGATAAATCTACTGTTAATTCCCTTTAACTCGATTTCTAACTTTGCTCCCTTGATCTACAATAATTCGTTCATCATCATCGTTCCATTTGAAACGAATCAATCGTCACCGCTTAGCCAATAACTCAAAACGATAAATAGATTAATCACAAGTGACACAATGGAACATTAAACAGCGACACGTAACTAACCAGAAGAAACAGAATTCATAAACAAACGAGATTATTCGAAAGCAGTTTCAACTTGAAAGGAAGAAACATTACCAGTTGTCGGATTGAAGAATCGAGAAATCGAGCGTGAAGTTAAGATCAGGGATTAACATCATCCTTTCAAGAAGATCGGTTCTTGTTCAAGTATCATATGATGATCGTGCAACGACCTTAAAGATCTTGTATACGCGCCAACGGAATCAACCGGCAAGGCTTCAATTTATCTTAAAACGTTCACGTACTCTCTTAATTTTATTGCGTTCGAAATCGAAACAATCCTGAAGATCGTTGACGAGGAACCATGAAAGTCGAAAAAATTTTCGTTATTTTCTTGGCATTTGGATTATCTCTGATATTGGTCGGTAAGCGAAACTTTTAAACTTTCTTTCGATATTGTGAAAGAGGGAACAAATCTGTTCTGAAGAATTTCGATTGATTATAATTTCGACTTCGATTACAACGATCGACGTTGATGATAGAAAAAAAAGAAGGGAACGAGTTTTGTTTTAACGTTGAATTTTCCGAGGCAAACATTCGTTCGGAATGAATGAAAATCGCGTTTGATAATTAACGTGAAAGTTAATTATATATTCTAGATTAGTTGTAGATTAGACACTTGTATTCTAAAATAATTGAATAACTTAAATGTAATAAATATTCGAGAATTTATCTTATATAGTTTGCATGTACTTAATTTCTCTTATAAGAAAATTTTTGCTCTAATTTTTGAGATATATATATATATATAAAATCGTGATTTCATTTTAAATATGCATTATTTAAATATATATGGATACTTGTATATTTTATTACTTTATATTATTCTATATATTTTAGAATTTAAATATTATTTATGAAATGTATCATATGAGATTATATAACTATGTTAGAAGAAAGTTGTTTAGAAAATTATCTTTCGCAAGTTATGTAATATCCAATTCTAAACACTGCGTTTCTTTTGTTCTTTTGCATATCCTCAAGGTTATCGTAAGTTCACGCTTATACACAACTTTATTATATCACTTAAAACGAGAAGAGAAATATGAGGTTTCGAAGCGTAAAATGTTTGGCATTTTTGATTAAGATAAATCACAACAGAGTATAAAAAAGGATTATAATTATGTCAACGTTATAATTGTTTTTAATCTCGAATATTCTTTTCTTTATATATATATATAATAATGATTGATATTATTCACCTTAATTATATTTTAAGAGAACAGCCGCGATGACCTCTTTTAATAAGCGTCATAAAAGATATTTTTAATATTAGTTTTTCTAAACAACTATATCTATCCTAAATGTATAAAATAAATATATCCTATATAATAAAAATATCTATCCTAATTTTAATGAAATTTCTTAGCCAACGTAGAGGCAGAATGGAAATTCTGGAACAAAGATAAGGGCAAAAAAGAAATAACAATGGCAACAATTTTTGTACCAAGTATTCTGAAAGAAACTGATCCTACAGTAATAACTGGAATCAATTTGACTATGATAAATAATATCCATTCAAATAAATCAAATACAGGAGCGGAAATAAGTTTTGATATTTCAAAATTGGAAAAAATAAGTGATAATACTCCTGAAGGATGTAAAACATGGTTTGCCACTTTAGGAATTTCTGCAGAAGAATTTCTCGAATATATCAAATCCTTAAAATTTTCTGTCCAAAAATCACTGACTAACAGAGGTTGATTAATTATTTTTTGGATTTTATACATTTTTTTATTTTTTATTTAATGGTTAAATAAAATTATTAAATAAATTTGATTATTTGTTGTATTTCGTAGATTCCAAATCAAAATCTATGCTTGCAAAAACACCAGGTAAAAAAAAAAATCTTACAAAGAAAACTAGAAAAATAATTTTGAAAATAATTCATCTTTTTTTAAATTAAAGGTACCAAAGAAGTTTCGACGTTACGAAACATATTCTCGCAACAACAGCCTCAAGCTCAACTTCCAAAACCTCAAAAACCCGAACTTTACTTTCAATTCCCTTCTCAATCCCATTATCAATCTCATCCTCAATCTTATCCTCAATCTCATCCTCATCCTCGTCCTCATTCTCGTCCTCATCCTCATCCTCATCCTCATCCTCATTCTCATCTTCAAAACCCTGAATTTCATTCACAACTTCAATCTGAATTTCACTCTCACTTCCACAAACATGGTAAGTAATGATACATATCTATTGCAATAAAATGATTTTAATTATAATATTTTTTTATCTCAAGAAATATCGAAACCCGTTCAAACACCCAGTACAACATCAGCACTAGTAAAAAAGGATAATATTCCTCATGTTAATATTTCTGATTCTTCTCTACTAAAATTGGACAAAATAAAATCAGGTATAATGATGAAAAAAAAAATGTATTATCAATTAACGAAAGAAAAGAAGATTATCGTATTTTTGTAAATAGATCACCCTCAATCAAAGTCTGGGCCAGAAGAAAATAAGAATATCTATTCTAGTAATCCTACTTACAGCAAAGGTCGCACTATTACTAAAGAAGATTTAGAAAAGCTTTCTGAAGCTCTGTATATCAAAGATACTAATAACGTGAATAGATATATCAAACTGAATTTACAAAGAAAGACGAATAGTAACGATACAACAGACGATGCATCACAACCGTAAGCTTTTAAAATCTTCTATAGAATGAGATATTTACTTACAATGTTTCTACCAATAATATACTACATGTCACTATATTTATTAAAAATGAAAAAATTCCACTTTCCTAAAATAATCCTAATTTGCAGATTATTCACGGTAAATCCAAAAGCATATAAGAAACCCACAATTCAAAAAGTTATATCAATGTATGATAAATACAATGCTCGAGTTAATGTACACAATGTAAGTTCACATCATCGACACAAAGAGAATGCTTTAATAAATACATTTCTCAATACCAATGTAATGTCCGCTGCCATGAGATTCTTGGCAAAGAAAGATCATATATGTAATGATTATTACGAATACAAAGACATGTTAAGAAAATTATGGTTTACCCTGTACTCTCAAGAAGGAGGAAGGATTAGCTCGGCTTTTAAACATGTTTTCATGTCTGAACTTAAGAAGTTAAAAACTGGAACTAATGTGTTTGGATTGCATAATTGGATTTTCTACAGTAAAGAAGAAAGCAAAGGGAACATAAATTATAATGGATACATAAAAAAAATTGACATCGGAGATGTAAGTTTCACTTTCTTAAGATGATTTTGATATTATTTTACTTTTTATAATTTTTAATGATTATTTCAAACCATTATTTTAAAAATTATTTTTTTATTATAAAAATGGAAAGAATTTTTTTTTTATTTTTAAGAATATTTATAAGAATATTTTATTTTTATTTACTTAAGAATCTATTAATTTAAAAAACATGTAATGAATATACATTTATCATATAATGAATTTTATTCTATTATTAGTATTTATTATAATTTATTGTTTTTTTGGTACTCTATGAAAATTCGTATTATACAAATAGTGGTTAAATATATTCACATGTGTTTGTTTTTTTAGAAAGCTTCTATTATCAAAGTACGGTCACAATACAATGGATATATTAAACCGGTAACGACATTATTCGTGGGTACCTCACCCGAACTGGAGATGGCACTGTACACAGTGTGTTTCTATGCAAGGCCTAACGGAAGTTGTCCAGTGTCTCTTGGAGGAATAAAGTTTGATATTTTCACTTCTAAATTTAAGTATAAAGAAAAGGACTTCATAGAAACAGCCTATCCAAAAATATAAATTTATTAAGATAAATTTATTTATATTTTCAAGAAAACAAGAACATAATTTTGTAGTATACTTGATTACGACTATAAAAATTATATTAACGAATATATGAGATATAGATGTTATACACCAATTGAAGAAATTTTATATTGAAAACAAATTTGGATCATCAATAATATTTGTATTGATGCTATTTGCATTGAATAATAAATTTTATTTTTGACTTGAATATATAAATATCGTTTTATATACATTGACCATTAACATATTATATTTATGATATAGACAATCTCGAATAAACAGATAATATTGAATAAAGTGATCGAAGGAGGGGAAAGAAGCAATAAATTAGTTTGAGCAATGCGATAGAGAAAGAATTGCCAGTTAAGTAGTTGATTTCGTAATGAAAACAAGAATGCATGCAGTTCTACGAACATTTTATAAAATCAAACATTCATATTTTCAATGGGTAAATAATCATCTAGTTATGAAATGTATAAATTCTCGATTAAATATCTCAACGCGATTATATCATAGTGAAAATGGTGTCTATGGATACAGATCAAATCCACAGAAACATTTTGAAGGTATATCTATTATTATTATTCTTATTATTATTATTATTCTCTTTGTTTTAAAATAAAAAATGATTAAAATGACATTAGATCAAATATTTGACTCTATCAATATTAATTTATTTATATTTCTATTAATATTTACGTTAGATTTATGAGTAAAAACATAATTTGAATTTCAAATATAAGAATTAAAATTTCCGCGTAATGTTATTAAGAATTTAATATGTTTTATAGATACATCTTCAAATTACAAATGAAATTATTTTATGAATAAATTATTCTTACTTGATATATATCTTCAAACTTTGTTATTCATATTTCCAGAATAAGGATATAATATAAAATTATATATCAATTATATTTTAATCACAAAATATTAAATTAAAATTTCAAAAACACACTTTAATTCCTCGCTTTCATCCAAGTAACTATCCAAAAATTATATAAAAATCTCTTATCTATCAGTACTACGCATGCGCAATAAATTTAAACACGAAATTTATTATTTCCTTTTATAAAAAATAATATATACGTAATAATGATTTAATATAGATGAATTTTTTAAATGACATAAAATAAATTCTTTCATATATAATTTCTATGATATAATTGAAATTCATATAAATATTTATATTAATAAAATGTCTTTATTTTATATTTTTACTTATATTTGTTATTATTTAATTTATATGTTTTAATATATAATTAAATTACATTTAGAATTATATTAGAGTATATATGTCCTTCAATTATTTTTAAAAATCATTTTGAAAAGATTTTACATATTTTTCATATTACTTTAGAATGATGATAACAAACATCGGAAAATTTTTAACATTACGTAAACTAATGATATAATTCGCGATAAAATTAAAATTACATATATTTATATATATATATATATTACAAAATAATATTACAAAATAATATATGATAAAAATATGCTAAATGATTTTTTTACGTTATTATTTTTCATATTATTAGTTTCAAAAGAATATCTGGATATACGATCAAAGAATAGCAATTTCTACAGACTGGTCATTGCCTATAGAGAATTCGGTCATAAACAAGCCGACATAAATCCTATTTCGTCAAAAAAACCAATACCACTAGTAGAATTAAAACCAGAAAGATTTGGCTTAAATTTGCAAGATAAAGTTTCCTTTAAAGGTATTTTAACAATGGGAAAAGAGGAAGGAACCATAGAAGAGGCTTTACAATTTTTAAACAAAACATACTGTGGCTCGGTAGGAGTAGAATTTAGCTTCTTGGAGGTAATAATTGATCGTCAAAGTTTAAAATAATCATTTATCAAAACTCATATATTAATATTTATTTCTTTATAGAAGATCTATATAAATACCTGATTTCTGTTAATGTCTACACAGACCGAGGAAGAGAGAGAATGGTTTGCGGAAACTGTAGAAAAATGTTTAAAAGATCCTCTAACGGATGAAACACGAATGGCCATTGCGATAGAAATGTTGAAGAGTCAATCTTTCGATCAATTTTTGGCTATCAAATTCGCAAGCTTTAAAAGATATAGTGGCGAAGGTGCTGAAAGTATGATGGCCTTCTATCACGAATTTTTTAAACTCTGTGCCAATGGTAAATAAAAAATTGTTTAAAAAATCCCACGAATCATTTTACATATATCTATAACAAATTCAACTATAAATATTATTATTAAACTATAATTAAATTAAACTATATTGCAGATAATTTGGAATATATTGTGCTTTGTATGCCCCATCGAGGTCGATTAAATTTTCTTACGGGGATGTTGAATTTTCCACTGAAAAAATTATTTCAAAAATTACAAGGATACTCTGAATTTCCGGATGATGTGGCTACAACTGGAGATGTGATCAGTCATTTTGTATCTTCCACAAATCTTAATATTGGTCAAAAAAAACTTCACGTAACAGTATTGCGAAACCCTTCACACTTAGAGGCTGTGAATCCTGTTTCCATGGGGAAAACTCGAGGAATGATGCAAGCTATCAAAGATGGAGCATATAACGAGGATATAAATACTCAATGGAGCGATAAAGTATTAAATATTCAGGTAAATTAATTTAAATTAATTCCATAATAAAACTAAAGATTGTACATAACTGTCGAAATATATCGATTAACTTTTATTTCAGATTCATGGAGACGCAGCTTACGCTGCTCAAGGTGTTGATCAAGAATGTTTAGCGTTATCCGCAACTCCTCATTTTGAAATAGGTGGAACAGTTCACTTGATAATCAATAATCAATTAGGTTTTACAACTCCAGCTTCTAGGGGTAGATCATCAAGATATTGCACGGATCTAGCCAAGATGATCTCTGCTCCGGTGATTCACGTAAATGGAGATGATCCAGAGGTGCATAGAAGAGAGAAAATTTTTAATTATTTAATTATTTAATTTGTGTGTAAATATATATGAAATCAAATATTTTAAATGTAATGTTGCAGATGGTTGTCCGAGCTGCTAAAATAGCTTTCAAATACCAACGAAAATTTAGAAAAGATGTTTTTGTGGATCTAAATTGCTTTAGAAGATGGGGCCACAATGAACTAGATGATCCTGTTTTTACGAATCCCATTATTTATAAAATTATACATAATCGTCCGTGAGTATTTTTCACTTATATTTACAAAATATTCAATTAATTATTAATTTTGTTATTTTCAATTAGATCGGTACCAGATAAATATGTGAATAAGCTGATAGAAAACAATGTTCTTTCGACAAATAAAGTTAAAAATATCATTGATAATTATAATTCTCAACTAAATCAAAGTTTAAATGAAATGGATAACTTTATTCCACAATCCACGTATTTTGCGGGTTTGTGGAGTGGAATAAAACAAGCAGAAGCAAGTGTGACAGAATGGGACACGGGAGTTGATTTAAATCTATTGAAATTTATTGCCGAAAAGAGTGTTCATATTAAGGATGATTTGGTGAGAACAAAATCATTATGAAAGCTTAAATGTATATTAATTATTAAAAATATTAAATATAAAAATATAATAAATATTTTATTTGTCTAATTATATATAATATCTATAATTAATTAAATATCTTGCTATATTACGTAATAGATAATTCACCCAAAATTACTAAAAAATCATATAAAAACTCGATTAAACAAAATAGCAAAAAATAAACACTTGGACTGGGCAACAGCTGAAACTTTAGCAATTGGAAGTTTATTGTATCAAGGATATAATGTCAGAATAAGTGGACAAGATATAGGTCGTGGAACGTTTTCTCATAGACATGCAATGCTAGTTGACCAATCTACTGGAGGTATTCAAAAAATAATTTTAATTTCAAATTATATAATAATAAGATTATGTTAATTATGATTTTAGAAATATATATTCCATTGAATTCCATGGTTGATGGTCAAACAGGAAAATTAGAATTAGCAAATAGTATACTATCCGAAGAAGCGGTTCTAGGCTATGAATATGGTATAAGTATAGCTGTACCAACTACTTTGACAATATGGGAAGCACAATTTGGAGATTTTTTTAATGGAGCTCAAATAATGATTGACACCTTTGTAACGAGTGGTGAGGCAAAATGGATGCTAAATAGCGGACTAACGATATTACTACCACATGGTTACGATGGTGCTGGTCCTGAACATAGTTCCTGTAGACTTGAAAGATTTCTACAGCTTACAGATAGCAATGAAGATAAACCTGATGGTGATAATGTTAACATGCATGTGACAAATCCAACAACACCTGCTCAATATTTTCATCTACTAAGAAGACAAGTAAGATGTATATTTTGATTAGAAATTATGCTTTTGAATATATTAAAATACATGTGTACACAGGATATATATTAACATATATTAAAAATTTAAAAATTGATTTTTAACATAGATATATGCTGATATAAACATAGGCTATATAGTCTCTTAAAAATTTTTATTCTTGAAAGTAAAAATTTCACATTTTCACCTTTTTCTTAGATTATATTCTCCTAAAATTTCTGATATTAAAATTTTTTGTCCGAATATATAATTTTATATCAATATAATCGCAATAGAAATAAGATGTAAAATTTTATTTTAAATTTTTTTTTTATGAAATATTGTAGTATAAAAAAAATTTTGAAATATTTTGAAATATAAAGTTAAAAGTGTAAAAAATTTTACTAAAAAATTGGAATTAATTTTCATTATTATATTTCATTTAAAATTAATAAATTTTTTTTCGAAAGAGATAGTTAATAATTAATTTTTATCTTATCTCTTTTTTTTTATTATTTAATTTCATTTATAATACTCTAAAGATAGTGTTATTGAATTATTTCAATGTTTATACATTATTCAATTTATTTATCTGCTGTTATTTTTATTTGTATTGCACATTCTGTGTTCCTATTTATATTTATATTTATAAGTTGAAGCTTCCAAAATCCAAATGCGAAATAGCGTTGATTCTTGAAAATTTTTTTATTTACTTCTTTTTTTTAATTTATATATAAAATGTATTAATAGTTATAAAA